ACAGGGACAGAATCATAGAATTGTTTTGGTTGGAAGAGACCGTTAAGATCATCAAATCTAACTGTTATCCTAGCACTGCCAAGTTACTACTAAACCATGTCCCTCAGCATCACATCTACAAGTCTTTTAAATACCTCCAGGGATGGTGACCACCCCTTCCCTGGGGAACCTATTCTAATACTTGATAACGTTTTTGGTGAAGAAATTTTTTCCTAGTATCCGATATAAACCTTCCCTGGTGAAACTTGAGGCCATTTGCTCTTGTCTTAGCGCCTCTTACTTGGGAGAAGAGAAGGTCACCCACCTCTTTGCAACCTCCTTTCAGGTAGTTGTAGAGAGCAATCACATGAAGTGAATTGTACTCATTTAAGGATCCTGCCTAAACAAAGCTCCTTGGTCAGTGCCCTGCTTTCAGGGAATGGACATTTAGTATTCTCTCCCTTGAGGGCTCACTTCTCCTATGAAATAAGTAGTTTCTCTTCCCTCTGTGTTGTAAATTTACTGTGCAGTCAAACATACCTGAAGTTGATCTGGTAGCTCTAGACACTGAAGTATGTAAACAGTGACAAAAGTGAAACTCCAAAAGTCCCCCCACCTTCCTACTATTGTGTGTGTGTTGCAGGAATAAAGAGCAGAACATTCTGGGGGTTCAGTTAGTGTTTCTCTGAACATGTCCTCAGGCCATGCCCTGTTCGTTCTTTCAGTGACAGATGTACCACTTCAGTAGGGACCAGGAGCTGCCTCAGCACCCACATTGAATTGTATGAAGAGCTCACAGAAAGTGTTAGCCTTGTGTTGTTAACAAGATCTAAAACTTCTGAGACGCTGCATTGTATTATAGTCCCTTGAACTATTCAGGTCTTGAGCCCTGTGTAATTTAAAGAGTTAAAAATTAATGATAAAAGTAGAAGCAGCTGCCTGGTGACTAACCCAAAGAACAGCTCTGCCTTGCACATTGAACTTTAATGTATGCGTCATCCTGAGTGTTGAAATCTTGCGATTTAATAGCATGTTGAATAAATAACTGTTAAATAAACTGAACAACAGCTTTACAAATGCTGTTTATTGTCACAACAATCAACAGTGACAATTCCAGTACAATGTAAGAATACATGTACTGGTTTTGTGGGGTTGACCAAAGCACACCAAGGGTATGTGGTGTGACCCACAGCTCTCAGTGACTTGTGAGCACAGGGTGTGTTTGCCTTCGGTAGATTCACTGGCCAACTTTCAGAAGTCCATAGATCTGCTCAAGTCCCTGTGACTGGTGTCTGTAGTTGCCCGGCTCTTGCCATGTGCTTGGCCCATAAAAATCACTGGACTTTGAATTGGGGGCAATTTTAAACCAGGTGAATCTGGATTTCTCTCTATAGATATGTGTAATATTTTTTGTATGTTCAGTGATTGTTATCACAAGAAACTTCTATCATTAATTTTCCATAAATAAAGGCATTAAGCTTTGCACTTTACTTAATGGGTTATACCGTGGCATTCATAGGTGTGATGATATCTGGTGGTTAGGACAGGCAGAGTCCTCCATCTTCAGTATGACTGGTCTTATAATAGTTCTGAAAGTTGTAACTTGAATATAATTCTGTGCCATCTACTTGATTTCAGCTAGTATGAACTACACATAGATAAGATCCTGACAATTGAAAGGTTAAAAAAAAAAAAAAAATTAAAGAGCACTTTATTTCCTTCATTTTACCTGCATATTTCAACTTCACTTATTTCAAGACACGAATATGACACGCTTTTTTATGAAAGTGTGTGTCATTATAATAAAATATGTTAAATCTGTTGTATCCACAGTGGTATCACAAAGAAATTGAACTACATCTTCAAGCAATTCTGCAGGCAAATGCACATTTCAGAATTCTGGCTCAGGAATCTAGCAATAAACTAAGAAATAGTTGATAAGTGATAGAAAAATGAAAGTTTTACATTTCTCTATTATTATCTGCAAAATATTAAAAAAAAAAGAAATTCAAGAAAATTATCTTCCATCTCACCACCATCTTTTAAATTTGTGTGCCGTTAAAAAATGCAGGAATGCACGGGTCATTGTAACAGCTTTCTTGGTTTGTCCTTTTTCTTCCAAGGTTTAGCAACTTCCCCCAGTGGTTAGTACAGCACTCCAAGCCACTAATCCTCTATCTATAAACTGTAATGTCAAAGGATTAATGTGTGCCTGGGAACACAGGTCAAATCTGCTTTAGATCACAACAGTTTGAGTTCAGCTCCTAGCTGAAATATCACAAAACTACCATATAATTTAGTACAAGTCTTGCATTCCTATACTTCAGCTGCTGGTTGCCTTTAATAAAAAGAGGCCCAGGATTGATTCCCTGAGAATGTCTTTTTCTTTGTCTAAAAACAAAGTAGTATCAGCTGGAAAGAAGAAAGATTTCTTAAAATAGTTCTGTATTAGATATAAATAGCACTTTCAGCGTCTGCTTTTAAAATACTGTAGAAAGTAGAGGATGGGGAGTTATTGATATTTCCTGGATTTCTTCTCTTTGCTGTGTTCCAATGGCCAACTCTGTAAGCAAACCTGCTGTGTTCCAATGGCCAACTCTGTAAGCAGTTACTCTGAGTAACTGCTGAGACCACGGTGCTGCACACAGATGCAGTGGCAATGCCTCGGCTGAGTCTCATTTGACAGCAAAGATAATTATTTTAAAATATTTCTTACAAAAATATTAATCTAATTTGTGCAATACATAGAATGATACGTGCAGTAACTGGACATACGTAACTACATCTGTTTTGTTTATGTTGAGTCACCAGCTAAGCACAGCAATTTATACCTAATTATCTGCAAAGGTAATATCCAGAATCTCTCTTACCTTGCTTGCTTGGTGCTTCTGTTGTGTGCTGTAGCCATGTGTCCTTGAGGGGTTTTCCTGTAGGAATTCTTGTAACATGTTTCTACTTCCCAGGGAAAAGTGGCAGGTATCCTTTTAGAATATTTGTTTGATCTTAACATTGAAATGTGATTGAGAGTAGGTTTATCAATTCCCTTTTGGTTAACGTAGGTGAGGTTTTTAATTAATATAATTCTATTTTAAGGCTACAGTGTATTCTATTATAAATAATAGAATAATTACCAACTCTAGAATGTGTGTAATTCAGTATATAAAACGCAGTATCATGCACCACTGTACATGTCTTTGTGAAGGAGCCTTGTGCTTAGCCTCTTCTTCTGACCAGGTTTCCCGATACTCAACTGCAGATTGAAAACCCCGTGTCTTGTCAAAGCGTGAAGATATTGTCAGAGTGGCTGACATCTTTTACTTTGGTTGGTTGGTTTACTTAGAGAAAACATTTTCCCAGATACAATAAAAAGCAGTGTACCTTTGCTGACATTCAAAGGGTTCCTGCCTGCTGCCCTCTGGTGGGGTCACCTCCTCCTGGAGCAAGGGGCTGTGCTCCCTTGTTTCAAAACCCATGGACCTGAGCATTTCATAACCACGTTCTTGTTTGCTTCGTCTTTGTTATGGTTTAATCCCAGCCAGCAATTAAGCACCACGCAGCTGCTCGTTCACTCCCCTCCGTGGGATGGGAGAGAGAGTAAAAGCGAGAAAACTCATGGGTTGAGAGAAAGACAGTTTGATGGGTAGAGCAAAAGCCACGCTCAAGGAAAGCCAAACAAGGAATTCATTTACTGCTTCCCATCAGCAGATGGGTGTTCAGCCACCTCCCGGAAAGCGCGTTCACTCCCCTCCGTGGGATGGGAGAGAGAGTAAAAGCGAGAAAACTCATGGGTTGAGAGAAAGACAGTTTGATGGGTAGAGCAAAAGCCACGCTCAAGGAAAGCCAAACAAGGAATTCATTTACTGCTTCCCATCAGCAGATGGGTGTTCAGCCACCTCCCGGAAAGCGGGGCTCCATCACACATAACGGTTACTTGGGAAGACAAAATGCCATCACTCCAAACGTCCCCCCCTTCCTCCTTCTTCCCCAGCTTTATATACTGAGCGTGATGTCATATGGTATGGAATACCAGTTTGGCCAGTGGGGATCAGCTGTTCCTGCTGTTTCCCTTCCCGACTTCTTGTGCCACCCCATCCTACTCGTGGATGGGGTGGTGTGAGCAGCAAAGAAGACACTGACTCTGTGTGAGCACTGCCCAGCAGTAACTCAGACATCCTTGTGTTACTAACACTGTTTTCAGCAAAAATCCAAAATATAGCCCCATAATAGCTTCTATGAAGAAAATTAACTCTACCCCAGCCAAAATAGAATCAGTTTAAAAATTTAGCCTGGGCACACCGCAAGCCCTGCCAATGTGTCTGAGGGCCAACGCACCTGGAAACCCGGCTTCATGTCAGGTGAAGACTCATTTATAAATGAAGTCCAGCAGGTCCAGAGAGATGATTCTGCCACTTTACTCTGCTCTGGTGAGACCTCACCTGGAGTATTGTGTGCAGGTCTGGAGCCCTCAATATAAGAAGGACATGGACCTGATGGAGAGGGTCCAGAGGAGGGCCACAAGGATGATCAGGGGGATGGAGCACCTCTGCTACGAGGACAGGCTGAGGGAGCTGGGGTTGTTCAGCCTGGAGAAGAGGAGGCTCCGGGGAGACCTAATAGCAGCCTTCCAGTACCTGAAAGGAGCCTACATGAAGGCTGGGGAGAACCTGTTTAGAAAGGCCTGCAGCGACAGGACGAGGGGCAATGGCTTCAAGCTGGAGGGGAACAGATTTAGATCGGAGATTAGGAGGGGGTTCTTCACTGTGAGGGTAGTGGAGCACTGGAACAGGCTGCCCAGGGAGGTGGTTGAGGCCCCTTCCCTGGAGATATTCAAGGAGAGGCTCGACGAAGCCCTGGGCAACCTGGTCTAGTTGGGGGTGTCCCTGCTGACTGCGGGGAGGTCGGACTAGATGACCCTTGGAAGTCCCTTCCGGCCTGGGCAATTCTATGATTCTATAAGTCTCCTGGACTGGGATGTGGTGCTGTAGGACTTTGCTGACAGTCGTTTTCTCGTGTCCTGGCAGGTTCTTCGCTCTGTGCTGCTGTTCCCGACGATAGAGCGCATGGCTCAGTCCCCCCAAGGCAAGCTCATGACCCCTCTGCTGTGCAAACTTCGTTACGTTCTGTACATGCCCGTCTACCTGCTCTCCTTCCTGCCGGAGGGAGTCAAAGCCTCCCTGGTGCGGTTTGCTCTGCGAGGAATGAAGACCTGCGATGAATCTTCCATAACGACCTCCGTCAATCTCTTCAGCGTGGACTGCATTGGTGAGCACCCTTTTGGGTTTTTTTCTTTTGTTACACCAGCTCTTGTATTGTTCTCATTTAGTAAGTGGTAATGGAGTTTTCTAGGCAAAAGGTTCATACTAAGGCATGATTAAGTTTTGAAGGACAGGTCTAATCTTTTCTCAAATTAAGACCATGGGTACAGGAAAACCTCCAATGAGTCAATTTAAAAAAAAAAAAAAATCATAAGAGGAAAATAACAAATAAAATATTTTCCGAAAGAATATATATTTCTTAAGAAAACTGACCTATACTACTAACAGTATCTCTTGATTAAAACATGGTTTTACAATCTAGTTTATGTTAATCATATCTTCTTTTTGCATTTAATTCATATTGGATGGTGAAAATAAATCAGTAGTCATTTTCACAAAGGGTTCTTTGCATCTGTTTGTTAAAGCTATGATTTAACCAGCTCTATAGATTTTGTCATCTGAATAAGAGTATTGGTAAATTCAGAAAAGGGCCTTCAGCCTACAAAGATATACAGGAGTTACTTTATGCACAGAATAGTTTCGGCACTTTTTGGGGCATATGAAGAAAGAAGATTAATGTTCCTCCAGTGCATATTGTATGTATATTTTGCACATTCTAGCAGGAGAAACAGCTTTAAGAAAGGGAATAATTTCAGATAAATTATGTTAAGTTCAGAATGAAAACCAGAACATGGATTGTGCTATACTCCAGGTATTTTGGTAAGTTAGCAGTTGAAAACAATTTGGAATAGAATTGACGTGCTAACACAGTAATAATAGCAAGAAGGAAGTTTTGATTGCATTAATAGTAGTAAAAACACATTCCTACATTTCCAGTTGTGCTCTGTCTTCTATCAGTTAAATTTTACCTACTAATCTTCTGAACAGATGTGCCAGAGTAGCGGTGATTGCGGCGAGGCCCTGTGCCTTTGGCGGATCTCTGTGGATGTGTTGGTCTGTACTGGAGGCTGGCAGTGGGACTGTGTGGGATGAAGTGGGAAGCGAGGTGGGCAGTGAGGGTTCTTACTGCCAAAGCCCTGTTTCTGTTAGACAAACCTGGCATAAAGACAGTGGCTCCTCTGCAGCACCCTGGGCCTTTACATTATCGGTTGATAATGTAAACTTCTGGTAGGAGTCATATGGTCTGTTGCTTCAATTCCTATTAATTTATGGCAGTTTTCTGATGAGCAAGGGAAAAAGCAAGCGGGCAGTCGTACATACACTGGGCTTTCAGGCTTCTTCCTTTGATAATTTAGTCTCGGAGAAAGGTATGTGAAGGTCTGTGGGGTCACATCTCCACAAGCCAGGAACCTTTCTCTGGTCCCCACAGATAAACTTTTACCTCTCAAAACAGGTTATCCACATCCAGGGTTGTATTGGAAATGGTCCTTGGCCTGCAGTAACCTCCAAAAAAGCATGGCCAGCCATTGTTTGTGCGGGCTGTTTGGCCCAGACCACAGCAGGGGCAGGAATAATTTACCAGAACGGATTTTGTGTGCTGCTGTTGGAGCCTGACTCTCTGAGCTCTTTAGTCCCCAGAGGAATGAGCCCGGTTGATGCCTGCGTGTCAGCCCCTTGTAATTTTCTGTGTGCACCAGGGTCTGATCTGTGTCCAAGCTGTAAGGTAAATTCAGGCAAGAAACCAGGCTGAAGGCTCTTGTGCTCATAGGGTGGGATCCCTGCCTATGTTCAATTTATTGACTGAATTCATTGTACCAGAATGAAACCCCCTGTGAGCCCATGTCTTGTAAAACTTGCATAAATAGGCCTTATTGATGCAACTGGTTCCTTTGGGCTTGTGATATCATCTCTCTTGAGCAGAATTCCCCTTAGGTTTCATCTTTGGAAACTGATGAGGTTTTACAGCCCAGTGACTCAGGACCACATGTGTGGATTAATAATCTTAGGGCTTTCCGGATATTGCCTCTTAACCTTGTCTCGTATTGTTTGCGGACAATAGAAAATGTAACCATTCAGCAAAAATTTGCTAAATCTAGCACAACAACCGAGTCTGTCTTATGGGACTGCTCATCTGTGAGTTACTGAAGCCTCTGAATTTGTGGTAAATGTTTTCCTGATTGATTCCTTGTCCCTTAATAAACTGCTAGATATGGTTCAGAAACCTTCAGCGAATGAAGTTGTTTCTCCTCTCCGGGAAGGTTGCATGTCAACTCATTAAAAATACACATATTGCCTTTGGCATGTAGATCTGTTGCATTACTGTAATTGTAATAAAAGCTGTGATTAAGGGCAGAAAAGATGGTAAAAGTTTCCTTAAAACTAATACGTCCGTTAAAACAAACCAACCTGCCAGGGATTTGTTACCACATCCAAAGCTTAGTCACAACAATGTTTTCTCTCCTCTGAAAGGAAATGAGATTTGAAAACTTAATTATAGCGGAACTCTAAGACTGAGTGCCGCTCCCCTTGACATGGAGAGGGAAAAGGTGGCAGCAGAATCAGGCCCTCAGTTGAAAGAGTCAGTGAAGGAAGAATTATATTACCTCTCTATCCCACCATTTCAAATTATGTTTGCTCCTGCTTCTTATCCAAACTTGTCTTTCCATTGTCCTGACTTTATGGTTGATGGTACTGGAAGCCTCAGCCACACAGCAGAAGGCATCATGATGATGCTGTGCAGAAAGGTAACAAAATATAATGTCTTGTCCCAAAGGGGAAATCGTGCAGGAAGAGGAGAGACAGCAGGGACTGTAAAGAAAATGGATTGTAAGGAAGGATGGGGAGACACGGTGTGTACATAATAAAGGACCTACTGGAAATAAGCAAAGGGGTCTGAAGGCACATGCCTACCCGGATTAAACTTCTAGCAAAGATATCTTAGGGCACTACAATGACCAAACTGGCATTTGGGTACTTGTATTCATGAACCTAGGAGATGAATGGACAGAAAAATTGGACGTGGGTGACCTTGAGTTATCTGAAACATTGTCGCTGTGTTTATTCAGGCTGGCAGAACAAGGATACCCCTATCTAGCACAGTGGTGGTTGTTCTACAAATCATGTACAGCCCTGCAGTGCTGGAATACTTTGGCACTGCAGCCCGGTGAAATTTGTAAACATTTCTTTGGTGACAGATGCCAGTAGCAGACTTACAGTGACAGTAAACCATTCTATCTACGCGGGACAGGATTTATTGTCCAGCCATTTGACTGGCAAACTTCCTCCATTTGTTTCTGTAAAATTTCCACAAAAGCACAGACATTACTTAATGGGTAAACACCGCGAGGCTTTTTCGAGAGGCGGGCTCAGGGGTCAGGGGTGAACGTCTGGATGACAGTGAAGATACAGATAAGCACAATAGCAAGAAAAACCTCCAACTGGCCCAAACGCGGTGCGTCCTTTGTGATCTTGAACCTGTGACTTCCCCGGAGGAATCTCCCTGTTTGTTTAACCTGTTCAGGGAGCAGGGGAGCACAGCGATCTGGAGTGGGGACAGATCTGCTTTGTGCAATCCAGGTTGGGAAGGAGGGGGCTCAGAAACCTAAAATGAGGGTTTCAGATGGGTTTAGGCTGTCACACAAATGCAGGCTGGAGACAGTAGAGTTCCAGTTTAAGTGTCCAAGAGATGTTGTAAGACAAGGAACTGAAATTAAACTTTGGAGTTTGGATTCAAATTTTCTCTTGTTCCAAGTGTGGAGACATTCAGATTTCATGTGGACTGTTTACATTTCTCTCATTTTACAGAGAAAAAAAGTTTTAGGGCTGTTTCAGGCACTCCACTCCTGCACCCACAGGACTGTGTAGGAAGCGAGTGTCCTCACTGAGGTATTGAGGCTTCTCTCCCAGCAGTAGCTGCTTCTCTCTCTTGCTTCCTGTTGCTATAAAAATGGAACATAAGCTTTTACATTGGCTAAGTTACTTTAAAATTTTATCTCCAAGGAACCAACTGGAAAATTTCATTCTGAGTTTGAATTATCCCAGCCCTGGGAGTTGTTATGTCTTGCGATCCGTTTCTATTCCAATTCTCTCTTCTTAATCAGAGAGATTTTCGATACGGCATTATGGGTGATCTTCCTCTGACCACTGTGGACATCATGCTGTGCAAATAGTTGGTAGTTGAATGGAACTAAAGCTCTCCATGGAGTCATGTGAAGCCAAGAGGGAGTTGCACATTATATTCTCATTTAGGTTTTATTTCAAACACTATATTAGCATGTTTAAAAAAGAGCCTGATGTTCAAGACAAGCTATTGCCCAGCATCACATAGCTGATCAGCAGCAGAACTGTACATAGACCTACAGCCCAGGGCAACGGTTGATCTACTGAACCTGCTTAACCATTAATTTAACCTTATAAATATATGTACATATGTTAGTCATGAGCAGCATCCACAAACCACATTGGCCAGACAGGCTGATGTGCATGCACTGCATTTTAAAACAGAGACAGAAACTGATACCACGAAGGATTTCAGGGAGCACCTTGCAATCTCACACCTACATTTGTCATAGTGGGCAGAAGACTAGAAGCTTTCCTCCCCCCTCACCACTGGACAACTGTGCAGATCTTCAAACCTAGACCAGTACATTTTCAAGTTGATTTTCCAGACTGACTGAAATCAAAGCCCTGGCAGTAAAAAGTGTTTGCTTTGTTTCTTCTCATGAATCTAAGTTTTAGATAACTTCTGGCTCTAATGCAGAAATCATTTCAAGGATATTTTTCTGCTTTTGTAATTAAATATATATAGAATTTCAGACATGATATATTGCCAGGCAAAATTTCACAGAGAGAAGAAATTGCTGACATGGTAGGTAACTTACATCTACATAAACTAAATAATGTTAAACCTGGACAGTGTTGTGTAGGATATCACAGGTGAGCAAAAAAGGCTGAAGCTCAGCAGGTCTCCTCTCTTCTTCCTACATGCATTCTTTGGTACTCAGTGGGGCAGAAAGAGGTTGGAATGATACACCAGATAATCTCCCTCCCTCTCACTAGCATCTAATTAGGATTTAAGAGAAGTCATCTTCCCTGAAATCAGGTAAC